ACAGTTCTTTGTCCGCCCTACTGTACCAATACAATGCCCCTGTTAAGCGGCATTGCTCACGGAACTGGTTTGCAGAACCTACACAATGTTATTGTGCTCCAGATCGGACCGGTAACCCAACAAAGGACCAGGAAAAAGCCGACCGGCTATTAATACGAGTCAACCCCGTCCCTAATCTGGAGACTTTCTTTTGGCCAGGCTTCTCACAGCATCGACACTCACACACAACAATAGTCTCTAGACTTTGACAATCCCACCACCTTCCCTTTAGTTCGTCCTTGTTTCTGCTGGACAGAACAGGACTCGCGGGAAAGATGAGGTGCCAAACGGTCTTGAGACGGGTGTTTTGCTGCTGTGGAATGGGGAGACGCGAGAGACATAGAATAATGAACGATGAAGACGATCGACAAAACAAGAATTCTACTCCTCTTGAAATACTCCCGCCGGCTGTGCCGGCCCCTCAACCAACCCTGCCCCCCTTGCCTGAATCTCCCGAAGACGCTGTTAGACAAAGTCCATTTGACGACTTGTTTGTAATTGGCGATGATGATTCTGATAGCGAGGACGAGGCCTCACCACAACAGTCACCAGTAGACGCAACGGTAGGTAATCCATTTGCTGACCCTGAGTCGGACTCTGACGACGTCCTGTTTGACTATGATGCCCAACTTGCTATGGAGGAGGACGATTTACCCAATCCCGATGCTTTCGTAGTTGGCGAGTCTGATGACGAGTCCATTGATGAGTCTGACGATGAAGCACATGATGAGCTACCGACCGCTAACCAGCCAGATACTCCTCTTGCAGATCTCGGTTATGCGACTGCCGACGATGTTCCCGATATGGAGGATGCTGACGATGTTCGCGATGAACAGAATGTTGATGAGACTTCTGATAATGAGGACATTGCCAAGATGGATGACATGGAGGCCATGCCAGCCAGCACCAGTCTCCAACATGAAACTCCTGAATGTCAAAACACTGACGATATTTCTGACATGGGCGAGGGTCGTGATATTGACGAGGACACATACTCCAATCAATACACTCCTCCCGCCTTCTTGCTAAAGGAGGTCGACGTGGAAGAGGCTACTGATTCCCCCAGCAATTATTCTGATGACACGCATGACAAAGAGTCCGAGTCAGATTACAAGCCGTTGGGCAACTTCAACCGTCTTGACGAATGCCCCATCAACTTCTCCCCCGCGGCGGGCTTCTCCCCAGCCAACGAGAACACAAGTGCCGACATTGACGAGAATGTAGATCGTCTAGCTGACACTTATGCCGGCTTCTGTTCACCTTTAACTATTGATCAGCCCGAGAAGTGGTACGTTCCCTGCTCCACACCAAAGAACGGCCAGGAACCATTCCCCCAGTTCCTTGCCAAAGTCGGGCAGCTACTCGTGGACGTATTCCCCGACGAGGTCCCCAAGACCATGGTGCTGGACAGAATGCGCGGCGGATCATACAACCGCGTGGTGGGCGTAACGCTTACCGCGAAAAACGCTCGCTACGTTCTCCGAGTTCCCCGGACCAAGAAGGACGAACAGCTCTCCAGAATCGCCCAGATCGACATCACCGAGGACATTGCGCCCCTGCTGTTTGTCAAGTCTGCCGGCATCCCCTGTGCCGAGATCATCTCCTTCCAGCGGGATCCCATGAACGCTCTCGGGCTGCCATACATGATGCAGAGCCGAGTCAAAGGTGAGTGCATGCTCCAGCCCGTCCGCACCGGCTCGCTGACTCACGCCCAACGTCGACGGGTCGCCAAGGAGATGGGCCAGATCTACAACAAGATGCTCAGAACCACGAGCACCGTGCCCGGACGCATCATCCTGCCGGCCGGCGAGATCAGCTCGACCCCGACCGCCGAGGACCTCTTGATCGCCCCCTACGGCTCTCAGGAGTCCCTCCCGTGGAAGCAGCTCGCCGAGGCCAACGCGACCGCCCAGCCCTACAACCCCGGCCCAGTCGCTGCGGAGCGGAGGAACACGCACATTGCCGAGTTTCTCTTTGCCTTGATTGAGGACCGCAAGCGGGCGACACCGGCGCACAACAAGAACCACCACTTCATCTACGACAAGTGGGACAAGTGGGTTGCCAAGATGCAGACCGATGGCCTGTTTGACGACATGGACTACTGCCTCGACCACCGGGACCTGTGGCCGCGCAACATCATGGTCGACGTCGACGCCTCCGAGGAGGAGCCGATGGTGACCATCTTGGACTGGGACCAGGCCATGCTCCTGCCAGCCTTTACCATGTGCATCCCGCCCACCTGGGTCTGGGACCTTGATAACTGCCGCGAGCCGGAGCAGCCCGACGCCGATGCCGATCCCATTGATCCCCTGAAGCGGGAGCTGAAGCTGATCTTTGAGGAGAACGCCGGGCGAAACTATGTCCGCTATGCCAAGGAGCTCGACTACAAGCTGGGGCGAAAGGTGATGAAAGACATCCTAAGAGGATGGCCTTAGAGAGAGAAGAGAATAGCCAACTGTGGCGAGTATAGAAGAACAAAAAGTTATGAGACTTGTATGATGGTTCAATGTGCCTTAAGTGACTGTTTCAGTTTGACATGTGAAAGTGAATAATAAGTGAATCTTGATATTAGAATAAAGGCAACAGATGCATTGTAAGCTTAAGTTGAACTTTGCTCAAAGTCTGATGTTGAGATTGTGAGAAATTCCAAGGCTATAGTGAAAAGAGATGAAGGCCGTTTTGACCATGACTCGGATTCGGCATTTGTTCCGTACATGGAGAATGAAACATGGTTTTATCATGGAGAAACAGCCAAAGTTGTAGATAATACAGGGAAACACCGTCGTAAGAGTCAGCCGTGTATAATAACTGGATCCATATCCGCTCATCTTACACGACGACTTTAAATTAATAAAAGCATCGAAACGCGCGGTTTTCGACTCAGTTGGTGCACCCAATCCAGCTACAAGGCTTCTGCAGAGGTCGGAGACTGCCGGCCAGGGGAAAGGGAAGCCGGCGTAAGGCCAGAATCATTCACAGGGTTACGGAGAAAAAACTATTAATAGAACGCGGACCAGAAATAGTAGAGCATATAGGATAGAGATATTTGGTACGAAAAGTAACAAAGACAGACCTCAGGAGACGACAATGCCCTTGTCTTGAGGGTGCACTTTGTGCTCCTCCCGCTACAAACTGTGCTGGAAACAACAACAGCAAAAGCAAAACAAAGAACCGAAGGAGACATATAAGGAACCTCCCCGCCCACCATGTCAGACATAATCCCATTGTTTCGTTCCTCATATCCCCCTTTCACACCAGGTCAGCTTTCTTACTCGTACTATTTACCAGACAATAAAAATGTCTTTAGCTGACACAATCCAACGATTACAGGCCATATGGCCGCTCACCAACACTGTGCACGAGACGTACTCGCTGCTTCTATACCTTGCTGCCTTTGCAGCTGCTTTTATCATCAACACATGGTCTCAAGGACAAACAAGTGTGGGCTTCACTCTTGCGTTTTGCCACCTCGAGTCTAACAATGTCTTGTTTCCGCAGGTTCGGACATCCACTGACGACGGCAGCCTTCACCCCAGGATCCACTTCCTGCTTCCTTACAAGATCTTCCACATACTCACCAGACGAGGAAACAGAAGGAGGTAAGCTCTCTTTCCTCGTCCTGCTGGCTAACTTTGCTCTCTACGGAGTAGCAAGCAATAACAGGTCGGTCAGAGGTGTCCTCGGCAGGATCATCGACATCTCGACCACTCTGATCGCCGGCTACATCACTGGAACCCCTCTTCCATTGCTGTCCAAGAAATTCACCCGATACACCAATGCCACCTGTAGAACAATCATCAGATTCTTCAACTCTTTCCACGGGATCAGACGAGAGATATATCTCGTCCTGCTCTGCACCGTCGTTGCCAAGACAGTCAACGTCTTTGCCTCGACTGAGTTGAACGCAGAGCTGCTGGGCTTCTCCCCGGCAGTGACCGTGGCCCTTACAACGTTACCAACCATATGGCTTACATTCTCCATCCCCTATCTGGAACAGTGCGCGGGTCAGCCCGTGATCCAGTTGTACAACCGTGCGGGTGCTCAGTTGGTGATCTTTATCACCGAAAAGACTCGGTCCAATAGAACGCTACAAACGCTATGGGACAAGATACTGACCAACTCGCAAGGCCTCTTTAAATCGCTGATCCTGGCCTTTTTGGTAGAGTTTCTCACCCTCACGCAGCGCTATGTCAGCGGCGTGCTGTGGAATTTCCTCGATCGAACCTTTCTCCTCGGCGTTGACAGGACCTACCTGCAGATCTGGACGTCGCACGTTGAGGCGGCTTACGGACCATCGGTAAGTGCCATCCTTTACTGCGTGCTGATTTCTGCCAGGGTGTATTACACTTTTTACCTGGGCATGGTGCTCAACAAGCGAGCAGATCAAGCCAAAACTCTGGCTAGTTCCGACAAGATAATCAAGGCAAGATCGGATATGAAAGCCATGGACGACCAACGGCTGGGTGTACGCGTCATCAGACGCTCCTTCTTTCTGGTAGAAGAAAATATCTTTTCTGTATTCGCCTCGCCGTCTTCGGCGCCGAAATGGTACAACAAGATAGGCAAGCCGTTCTTGTCCAACATCTGGGTCGAGACTTCGATGAAGCTTCTCGGTAAGTAATTAATTAATAGACTGCTAATAGTCAATAACTCCTGTTTGTTCTTATACCAAGTGATACGTAAGTGACTGCAAGTTCCAACTGTTGATATTGTTTTGTGTATTAATGTAATATCAAGCGTTATTACTGTATCGCAATGAAACGATACCCAAAGATTGGCAGCTGTCCGATTACATGGGTGCAAAGACGTACAGCTGTCCACGCGTCTCTGACCCTGGACATAAACAATCGCCATTTTCCCCACAGAGAAAAATCTTTTCCTCAAAACTGAATCCTTTTTCTGCCATGCAACACAAAAAGACCAAAGCCGCCACAGCAGCCATCAAGCATCAAGAGACCTCCGCCCGGCTAGCTCAATCGGTAGAGCGTGAGACTCTTAGTCCTGTGAAAGGAAATTTTCACGGAAACAAGATATCTCAAGGTTGTGGGTTCGACCCCCACGTCGGGCTCAATTCCCGGCGGCGACAGTCTCTTGCATTGTTTCTTTTGTCCTTTTTGGTATTCTGTTTTTATATTTCATTCACTAGCTTAGCTACCTCTCATCAACATCCAGTACAGTAAATGTCCAACGCAATAAACTCAACAGAGTCATAACATCCATCCATGGACATATCCTGATGATCCAAGTCTAGGCATCAAAATCCCTCTCCGTCAAGATCTCCCCGGCCAAAATCCTCCCCATGTGAGTCTTCTCAAGCCCGCCCACGCAGTCCCTCCGGATCTTCTTGTACATCTCTGCCAAGAACGGCACCGGGTTGACGTCGAATGCACATTCGCCAGGGTACGCCTTCTTGCCCACGAATCCATCCCTGGCCCCGTCGCTCTCGTCGCTCTGATCCACCACCATCGTCTCCTCCTCCACTCCTTCTCGTTTTGCAGTATAAATCAGTCCCAGGTACCGGCAGAGTCTTGCATACTCGTCGTAGTTTCGCAGGTAGACCTGGCCGGCAAAGAGGTTGAGCTGCATGATCAGCTCGGGCGGTGGTGGAACTGTCGCGGCCAACGGCATGGTCGTACTCGACGTGTGGTCCGGGACGACATAAGTGTCGAGATCCTCCATCGTCTGAAACGTCAGAGTCGCCCGTGGGAGGTACGCATGCAGCTTCACAGGCACCTCTTGTCCAGACGCCCGCTGTTCAATGACACTCTTCAGTTGATCAGCTTCCCACTGGCTGACAATCACCATTTTTCTCGCGCCGGACGAGGGACAGGTGCTGAGAAGAATCCATTGGACTCCTCGCTGGTAACTATCCGAGCGGTAACTCGGTCCCGTCTCCTCAACCGTCCTGACAAAATCACGGGTGACAAGCAGGTCAGTAGGAAACGAGGACACACCGCTTTGCGACCCAAACAAAGATGTCACGCTGGTCTTGGCCATAGCGCCATAGGCTGGAAGCAGCGCGGCGCTGTCGGTCGGGATCACCCCAGTCCCGGCAAAAGCGAGCACGTCCGGATGCATCGCATGACCCAAGGCCTTGCGAGGAGCCGGTCGAGATAGTTGAGCTTCCTGCACGATCTCGGGGGAAAGTTCGCGCTCCTGCTCCTCCTGAAGTGTTGCCGAGGAAAATGACAAGCCGCCGCTGCGAGTTGACTGGGTAAAGGACGTGAGCTTCTTTTTAATGGCGACCAGCTGGCTATCTCCTCTATCGCTGGCCAGGTCTGATGAACTCCCAATGCTGAGATCATTCAAAAGCTCACTGACACCAGCGTCACCTTCCATCCCGGTTGGCTTGGCGCGGTATCGCTTCTCCAGAGACATGGCGTCGGGCTCAAGATACTGTCGCGCATGGGACGCTGTAAAGCCATCGCGAGATGCCTCTGCCTGTCGCCAAATATTCTCCTGGTTGACGTTGCGAGTCCCCTGCACAGCCCACAAGGGCATATTTCGCTCCTCCTCGTTCCAGGTTTCCCAGAGGGCCCAGGCAACGACATCAGAGACAACTAGAGGCTGCTCCTCACCGGTCCCACGGATCTTGTGAATCCGCTTCTGCATCTCCGGGGAGACGATAAAGGTTACGGACTGCCCCTTGCCCAGTTTGCGCATCCGCATGCATGCTTGGACAAGAGTGTCCTTGGTCACACCAGGTCCGAGGGTCACGGCAGCCCGGTAGTTTTCAGGCAGCTTCAGATCCGTGCCTCGGGTGTGGGCTTGGTCAAGGTAGACGAGACATCGGTCGGTCTGAGTGAGGAATGGCGACGTCAAGAAAGAGTCAACAACGCCATGCCTGTTGAGCACCGAAAGCTCGTCCTCGCCATTGAAGAAGATGACGGCATCAGCCTCGGCCGTTGAGACGGACTCAAGGAACCTGGTCGCCATCTGAACGTTGCTGCTCTCGATGATCTGTGCGCCCACATCAAGAATGACCCGCATGGCAGGCTGCGTCTGGCCGAGGCAGCCGAGGAGCATGTCTTCGGTCAGAGCCGACACCTGTGATTGGTCGCTTCCGCCTCCCAACTCCAGAACGGTGTTTTCCTCGCTCAGGATTGTGCTCAACACGGCCGCATTGGTGTGGGGTTGCAAGTCCAAAGCCTTGACCGACAGCGGCAGGACGGTCTTGGAATCGTTTGTTCCGCTAAACCCCGTCATTGGGTGCTGCTTCTGTCTAGCAAGATCCCATCCGGAAGCGGACAGCTTCAGAGGAAATTGCTTCATCTCCTTGGGAAACACCACCATGGCGAGGTAGTAGTCTATAGTTGCCCGAGTGTATCGCAAAGCAGGGAACACTTCATCCTCGCACTGGGCGCGATCCTTGAGGTTGATGGCGGAGAAGTGACGAAAGGACGGTGGGAGCCCCGGGGACTTGACAGCCCACCGGCCATATTCCTCATGACCCTGATCCGACTTGCTGAGCAGCTCCATGCAAGTATAGAGCTCGACATTGGACAAACCGCCGTAGTAGTAACTGAGGCAGGTCAGCATGATCACCACATCTGGATGACTGAACTCGGAGCGCGGCGAAGGCATATCCTTGGCCCGGTACGGCACAGCGAGCATGGTCGGCGGTCGACGGTCTGGCGCGAGTCCGTAATTGACACGGTATCGCTTCTGGCCCAGAGCAAAGCGAAACACGCCCTTGGCGAAAAGTCCTCTCAGAAGAAGAGCCACGTTCTTGAGAGCTGGAACACTAAAGAGCCCGTGATCAGGGTCTTCGACAATGAAGACATCTTCCGTCGGGGGCGACTCGAGCAAGATGTAGTTGAGCAGGGCTTTTTGCATCCTGGGCGTTTGGTGATGTATCGGGAAGCCCGTCAAGCCTCGCTGACAGGCCTGGGTGGCAAGCTTTTTGACAAGTTCCTCGGCGGCGACCTCACTGGAGATTCGTATGAGAGGAACTCGTCTTGGGCCGTGGTCATCAAAGAGGATTCCATCTTTGATCATCTTGGAGCCGCTGGCAATGAGCAACTCTCTAACCACAGCCTCAGTCATGTCCAGCAGGTGCTGTATGACAACCCATCGATCCGGGCTCATTTCGACAGCCTCTTGAGCGCCCATTGTGTAGATCAGCTCAAACTTGACACTAAAGTTCTCGTCGCTTTCATCAACGATGTCCCGGGAGACGCGTTCAAATTCTCGATAGAGGCTGATGATCTCTTTGCCCAAAGCGCTGACTTGTTTCTTATCTCCCTCGGCGGCCCAGCTCTTGTCGATGCCCATCAGTTTAAAGGAGAGGAGGTGCTCAGGCTGCACCAGCAGGACGCCACCCTCCTCTTGGCACTTCTTGATCATGTTGCGGATGCCTTGGACCTCTGTCGAGAGCAGCTGGATCGACCGTGAGAATGGCAAATAGAACACAGGTCTGTTAATCAGTCGTCCCAGTTTCCCGATCAGCATGTGCTGCATCTGGCTCGCCTGTGGCTTGGCTACGACAACCCGAACAAGTGAATGTCCGTCGGCCAAGGCTGCTGCCACGATGGGGACAATCACCGAAGACTTGCCTTCTCCCATGTTCAGCTGCATGACTGCATTCCTGTCGTTGGGCGGAGATCTCATCACTGCCGCAACGTCCCCTTGGATCGGGCGGGTGAGGATGCCTTGTTCGATCTCGAGAAGCAGCCGCTCTGGGTATTCAAGTACATCCCAGTCCGGCCGGTCATGGTCTCCATTGTTTAACAACTCGCGTTTCAGATCACTCCATTGCTTGGGCAGGTTGAGGCTCTGGGCGTGAAGGCGCTCCGCACGCTGAAGGGAAATCAGACTTAGTGCAAAGCTCACCAGACATGCTTGCCACTGTTTCGAGAGCTGGTTCCAGAAGGCCCGAGTGAGGCGCTGCAGAAGAAACACCGGCGAGAGTCTGGGATAGCAGGCCGCCCCTTGGCAGACTTGTCCAGCAAGAGACGAGACGGAAAGCGCAAGACCAATCTCGGAATACATGGCGTTATGTCGTTCCGATGCCGCTGCCAAATTCCGTCCCAACACGCCCTGGATCTCCTGAATGAATTCCCCATCCCTCTGCAGAGAGACTTGACTTGTCGGCACGGCACTCGCCATGCTGCGACGCAGCTCCGCAAGGTATGATGATTGAAAGCTCTGTGGGCTGTGGCTCTGCGAAAGGTCGTCAACCAGAGGCGCCAAGCAATGGCTCTTGTCAGCTTCCGAGTCTCGAAGTGCCAAACAACGTGCAGTCAGGTCCCTCAACTCGGGGCAGTCCAGGGACATCATCAGGCGTGCGCCAGCGCCCTCGGGCCCCGAACTGAACAGCGACATGGCGCCAACAAAGGCCAATTTAGAAGACGGGGGTGTCGAGGGCGAAACTCTGGAAGCCACTTTGGTGGAAGGCTTGACCACCTCCCATCGAAGCAATTCGTTTTGCACAGAGTTCATATGCGCCATGAATGCATCTGTTCGGCGAGCCATTTCCACTTTTTCCCTCACACCCTCCATAATCAACGCTATGTTCAAGTAGGTAGAGTACCTTCTATCGCCGGGAGGGCTAACCGTCCAGGAGGATCTTGTTTGAGCAGCCAAATCGTTCGAAAAGTCGCGAACCGCCTTCGAAGAGTTGTCTCTCCAGGTCTCTTTCTGTCGTCGGTCATAGTGGCCGTCTGACTCATCGGCCCGGCGATCCAAGTCGCGTTCCGGGCAATCATCGAGCCCCTTGCTGCCCTCCTCTACAATTTTGCGAGTTATTTCTGGCAGAAGGGCGCGCGTGACTGTAAGATCGAACTTGGCGTCAGGTGGCGGGAACATTGGCGGCTTCGAGAAGGTTAGGGTAGCATTCCCCAGTGCCATTAAGGTCTGAATCATCTTAAGACTCGACCCTTCGGCATAAAGGAGACCGGATAGGAAGAACATCTTCCGATACTTGCTGCCTTCCCTCGCCAGAGCGCGGTGGAGGCCACACCAAAGCCCCTTCAGTGAGCCAGTCGAGTTGTCCACTTTGAAGGCAAGGTCTACAATGGCGTCACGGTATCCTGAAAATTTGTCGCCGTTGATGTTGACAATTGTCTG